GGTCATCGGTATGGGTGGCGGGAATTATACATCCACGGCTCTGTCATGTTCTAATTTGTAAGGAAAGGTCTTAACAGGCTATTAATTCCAAGAGGAAATTTAGCTTCCAAATAGCCTTTCTGCTATGAAATAAAGCAACAAGTGATTTTGTAAATGTTGTTCCTTGTCCCCTAACCTGTCACAGACTCTTTGCTCTAACACCCACATCAGATGCTAATAGGTCCTGAGTGCATCAAGGTCTCGGGAATGGTCGCTGGTCTCAGGAATGCCCCCCATCACCGTGGCTGTATTTTCTGCCCATCCCCCTCCCCATCTTCACCCACTGGCTGCTTACTGGTCCTGCCCTTGACCCCCTCTTGCTCCAACACATCACGTGGGGTGGTGCAGGGCAGCAGAAGGCAAGTTGTGCCATAAAAGACCTAGTGGTGCCAGGACCCAGGCCAGGGGAGGGATGTAGGGAAACCCTGCCAGCCACAGCCCAGGCTCCCCTCCACCCCAGTGTCTGACTGTGATTATCGGATTCCTGTTAGTTGCAGACCCTGCAGGTTAAGGCCCATCCCTATTGCCCAGTAATATTATTTCACTAATAAAGTCCCAGCAACACCCCATCCTATACCCCACCCGACAGCCAGATTTCACCTGCTCTTCCTATCGGAACCCCAACCTGCTTGCCTCCCATGAGAAGAGCCGGGGGCGGCTGCATGACTTGCCTGTGACATGTGGGCTACTGTAAGGACCCACCCCCATCCCTCTGTTGATCCCCAGCCCCCATGAGAGCAGAGCATGGGTTTGAGAGAATGAAGGGTGCAGAGAAGGCAGAAGCAACAGAAGCATTCCCAAAGCCCCGAAATCCAGGGTCTGCTTCTAACCATGAAACTTAGTTCATACTCCCCCGCCCCACAGGCCCAGGAGGGAATTCCTGGCCGGAACCAACAGGTGGTGGGCAAAGAAAAAGAAGACAGGAGGGGCGCCTGGGTGGCTCAGTGAGTTAAGCCTCTGCCTTCAGCTCAGGTCGTGATCCCAGGGTCCTGGGATCGAGCCCCGAATCAGGCTCTCTGCTCAGCAGGGAGCCTGCTTCCCCCTCCCTCTCTCTGCTGCTCTGCCTACTTGTGATCTCTCTCTCTCTGTGTCAAAGAAATAAAATCTTAAAAAAAAAAAAAAAAAAAAAGAAGATGGGAGGCTACAGGCAAGAGACAGAAAAGCAAGGAGGGGTGGGGGGTCTGGAGTGCGTGCTTGATGTCACTCTAGCTGGGCATCTGGCTCCCCCAGCCTCACATCCCTGCCCCCCAGCCCCTGGGCCATCCTACCCTTGATGGTGCTCCCATCCCAGGAGGTAAGCTGGGCCCACAAGGGCAGCGGGCAGGTGTCGCTTCATTCCACAGCTGGAGGACAGCTGGATACAGTGTCCTCATAACACACACACACACACACACACACACACACACACCTGGGCTGTTTCCACCCCATCTAGAAATACTGAAGGCGGCGATTCTGTGACTTAAGGAAAACTTTGGTGAGTGGGCCTGGGAACCCAGGCACCTTTTAAAAAGTCACAGTAGTTCCAAACAAGTGACTCAAACTTCTGGAACACAGCCCACTGAAAGCCGGGGCCTCCTGCATTCTATCTCAGGCTCCCAAACGGACCTCGAGAGCCACCTCCTCCTTCCCCACCATCCCCCAAAGCCACAAGGAGGGCCCTGCCTCCACGTCAAGGCCATGCTCTCCTGGGATGCTAACATGGTTATCTTCTATTTATTTATTTCTTTTCCTGTTTCTTAATCTTTTTAGGTTTTTGTCTCCTCTTAATAGTGCCCAAAGGACACCAGCAATCTTGGGTTTAGCATCTGAGGCCCCAAAGGATGGAATTTTTGTTTTGCTTCCTTAATGGACAGTGAAGCACATGGGAGACTCATGGTTCAGGGGCTCCAGCAGAGAGGAAAATGCCCGCAGGGACTGTTCAGCAGCTCGGAACGGTTCGGAGTCAGATCACAGACCCCAAATACTGCCATGTCCACCTGCCTGTCTGCCCCAGTCTGTGCTTCTACTGATTCCAAGCAGAAGGGTTCCCACCATTCTTCCCCAGACAGCTCCCAGCAGGGCCCTTGACTGGCAGAAGCACAGGCTGAAGTCGACCGACCCAGAAGTCAAGACAGCGACGGCAGACCCAGATCGGGTCGTCACTTTATGTGAACGGGGTGTTCAGAGAAAAACAAAGGACCTGTTGCTGTACCCACAGGGTTCAGATGCTGCCCCAGCCCAGGGCGAGGCTCCTGCAGAATGAGAACACAGAGCTTCCCGAGTGAGCACAGTGTGTGAGCCAGAATGGAGGAACAGGAAGAATTTGGGTCCAAGAACCAGGAAAAAGACAAAACTGCAAACTTGTGTTTTCCCTCTAACCGAGTGGGAGGCGATGGGACAAGCCCCACAGGGTTCTTGTGTCAACGCCCCACAGTCCCGCGGGGCCCCTGGAGACTCAGCCCTCAAGTCCAAAAGACCAGGATGATGGCTTTGGCCGAGATGCAGCCAGCATCACAATAAAGTAGGAAGATCACTGAAACTGGAAGTGAGAAATGGACGCTCCAGGCACATGACTACTGTACCGACCGATGGGCCTTAGGTCACTTCCCATCTCTCGAATAAAGGAGGTAGCAGGATTATGGAATTTATTAAGCCCCCCAGACTCCTCCCAATGGGTTACCAGATAAACACGGAGGCCGAGAATCACATCTCCCAGTCTCTACAGCCCCGCAGCACCTCCAGGCTCTTGGGTCCTGGGCAGAGCACGGGGCTCTTAATTAAGCTGAGGCCAAAATTCCACCCCTTCCAGCAAAACACGTCCTCAAAGAACTAGCAGACCTTTCACCGCCGTGGCCAGCACGATTGTCCCCGTTTGTGTCCCCACACCACACCTCACGTCATCTAAGTACTCCACACACCCTGAGCTCCCTGTGGCACAAGCAGGATCTAGGGCCATCACACCTTCAGGTCTCCTAGTGCGTCTTCACCCACATTCCCTCTGATCTTGGTAATGAGCACTAAGACAGACAGCCCCCACTTGACAGAGGATCACTGCATCCGCACGAGTTAGACAGCTGCTGAAGCTAGCCCGTGACAGGCTGGAGATCAGAAGCCAAGGGGGCTCCTTTCCCCACAAGAGGTCTTTCTGGAGGGATCAAGGGCAGGGACTGTCTGGGACATGGCTGGGATAACTACCGCCCCAGAACCAGGCCTCATGGGCCTTCCTGCCACCCACTTGGGCAGGACACCAGTGACACAATGGCCCTGAGGCCCAATGTCCGGACATCCTCCACTCCCTCAGGCCCAGCACAGAAAGCTCTAGTGCCAAGCCAGGGGGTTGAGGGAGAGACGGTCTTCCTGCACAAGCAGCTGAGATCCCCAGAAGCACATACCCACCCCAATGCATGTTGACTCAAGGGCCAAGAAAACAGTGCCATCCCACCCCAGAAACTGTGGCCACCCTGGATGAGAGCTGGCGGGAAGGGAAGCCCCAGGGCGGACCGAGGCAGGACTCACCTCCCTCAGCAAGTGCGTGCCCTTCAGCCCGTCCTGCTGCTGCTGGGCCACGGTGACCCCCAAGACGAGTGTGTGCACAACACAGGAGACCACGGAGATGATGACAATGGGGCTGAGGCTGAGCGGCAGCGTGATGAAGAAGGAGAATACGAAGAAGGTCTGCCAGCCCACCGTGTCGCTGGCTGCATGGGCTCGCGAAAAGTTCAGGCCCAGGTAGGAGAAAATCTGGGCGGTGATCAGCAGCCACAGCACGTAGGGCACCACTTTCCGGGTGACCCGGTCGGGGAGCAGCCCCTTTTTGCAGAGCACGAAGAGGAGGAGGTCCAACAGCAGTCCCATGGCCGCCACGAGGAGAGGAGCCAGCTTGTCGCTGGAGAAGACCACGGCGCACATCACCACCACGTAGCAGTCAAAGAGGGCCGCGAACACCACCAGCACCAGCAGGGTCTCGTGACGCTGCCGTTTGAAGTAGGTCTGATACAAGTTCTCCAAGGACTCGGGCACGAAGGTCAGTCGCATGAACCGAGGCAGGCAGAGGCAGGATCCCGAGTTCCGGACCGAGATTTCGTGGGTCCGGCCCACTCCGCGGTCAGGGTCAGAGGGCAGGCTGACCGAGTACTCCGCGGAGTACTCGGCCGAGTACTCAGGTTCGGAGAAGCCCTGGTTCCTCGGCATCCTGGCTGCCGGCTGCTTCTACTGGCCCAGGAGAAAGGGACGGGGAACGGAGGGAGAGCTCCGGACTGGGCCACCTACCAGGGCTCTCGGAGAGCTGGGGGAAACGGAGGGCCAGCCACTTCCCGCAGCAACGCACCGCAGATCTCCAGGGCACAGGTAGCGCGGGTCATCTGGAACTTAGAAGGACATCGCTAAGTAGAAACACCTCTGCTTTCCTGCCGGTGGTTCCGCACGACCCACCCTACCCCTCCTGAGAGGATCGCTGCGCACGACGCTCCAGGACCAGGGCCTTCTCCAGCCACCCCCACACTCAGGCCACCGCCCGGACGGACACGGACGGACGGACACACACACACACACACACACACACACACACACACACACACTCCTGTCCTCGTGGAACAGCTTCTTGTCTCCGGCTGGCCGAAAGGCCTGGCCACCCCTCCACCCCTCAAACTCCGGGTCCGTCTCTGTGTCATCTCTGCTCCCTCAGTCCCTCACTTCCTCACCTAAAACGCCGCCAGGCCCAAGCCTTAGAAGCGGGAGATAAAACATGCCCGAGAGCAGCTGGAACCATCCTCGGGATTCCCGAATCTTCCTTCTGTTTACTTCCTTTCCCCACCCGACCCCTGGAGGCCCGGGCTCTCCACCTCGGGGCACTACCTGCCCTCCGGAAGGCTGGCCTGCCCCTGCGTTTACCTGTGCGGGAACTCGGGAGCCGCGTGCTTCGGCCGGTCCCTGCGCGAGCTGCGGGGCTGGGTCACGCGTGTGGCCGGCGGGGGCAGGAGGGCTCAGCACGCCCGGGGACCGCGCCGCCGCCCCACCAGCGCCCGAGTCCCCGGTCCCTGGCCGGAGCGCGAGCACCCCCCAACCCCCGCCGTCAGGCCTGGGATCCGGCAGGGAGAGGCGCGGGGCTGCCCCTCAGCATCCGCGGGCGCCCGGCGGCAGGAGGAAGGAGGCGGCTGGGGCTGGGAAACCGGGGAGCGCCCGCCCTGGGGCTGCGGCTCGCGGCGCGGTCGGACCCCTCCCTCTCGCCCCCGCGCTGGCGGCGGTGGCGGCGGTGGCGGTGGCGGCGGCGCGGCTAGGGGCGCACCCGGGGCCCTCCCGGACGGGAGCGCGGGCCGAGGCCGGGGCAGCCCGCCAGCATCCTCTGGGCCGCCCGCGCGCCGAGCCGAGCCAGCGGAGTCCGGGCGCGGCGCGCTGCACTGTGAGTCCCCGCGCGGCGCCGGCGGATCCCGGGCCACGCGCGCTCCAGGCCCCGGGAGGCGGGCGGCGCCCCTCCCTCCCCGCAGTCGCCGCCCTCTCGACGAGCGCGTCCGGGAGTGGGGGGGGGGGGGGGGAGCGCCCAGCTCCAGCCGCGCGGCCGGCGGGGAGAAGGAGGGGAAGGGCGCGGAGGAGAGCGGGCGCGAGCGGCCGAGGCTCCAGTGGCCCCGCGCTCTGACCCGGGGCGGCGAGCAGGCGGCGACCGCTCGGTGGAGGCGCCGCGGTGGGCGGCGGGCAGGAAGGATGGGCGACCCGACACCTAGCTCCGCGGCAGGCCGGGTCTCTGGAGAGGGGAGCCCGGGACGTGTCCTCCCGCCTCCCGCAGGTGAGGCGCGCTCGCGGCACCCCAGCCGCCGCCTCCTTCGCCGCGGTTTCCTTCTGGGCCTGGAGATGAGAGGCCGGGGCTGAGGTTTGGGGACGCCTGCCCCGCCGGGCGCGCCGGGCCTAAGTGTCCCCGCCCACCCTGGCAGCCCCAGCCTTCCGCAGAGGGGCCCGCAGCCGAGCTCCGTTCGAGAAGGAAAAGGGGAGGAGGGGCCCGCTGGGCACCTGGCACGTGAAATGAAGAGACCTGGCTTCAGAAAGATCTCCCGTGCACATTCCACCTGCGATGGGTTTGAATTTACGAACTCCTATAAAAACTCAAATGCTCCTGTGAATGGTTAAGCCTATTAGTCTCTTACACCTTAGTATAAATTCCTTTCCTTGGCGGGGCTCCTGGGTGGCTCAGTGGGTTAAGCCTCTGCCTTCAGCTCAGGTCATGATCTCAGGGTCCTGGGATCGGGCTCTCTGTTTAGCGGGGGAGCCTGCTTCCCTCTCTCTCTGCTTGCCTGTCTGCCTGCTTGTGATCCCTCTCTCTGTCAAATAAATAAATAAATAAATAAATAAACAAAACAAACAAACAAAAAACTCCTTTCCTTGGCTTTGTCAGAACCTTGCCAAGCGCCACCACAGGCCACAGGCTTTAAGAATTAAGGGAAAGGGGATGGGGCGCCAGGGTGGCTCAGTGGGTTGGGCCTCTGCCCATAACCCAGGCTCGGGTTATGATCTCAGGGTCCTGGGATCGGTGCTGGGATCTAACCCCGAGTTGGGCTCTCTGCTCAGCAGGGAGCCTGCTAACCCCCCCCCCACCCCTCTTTGCCTGCCTCTCTGCCTACTTGTGATCTCTCTCTGTCAAATAAAAACAATCTAAAAAAAAAAAAAAAAGAATTAAGGGGAAAAAAGCATGGGGGCTGGGGGAGCAGGGGGGTGGGTTGCTGAGGACAGCCAGCAGCATCAGGGAGAGCAGAAGATACGGATCAGAAAGGAGAGAAAACTCACCATCCAGGTCCTGGAAAGAGTGATCCCTTTCCAGAGCCTCAGTTAACTCAGCCCTCAGGAAGAAGATTCATCAGGGAATGGATCCTATCACAGCTGTTTCTCTCTGTCCCTCACACTAATTCTGAAATGCAGCCAACATCAGTCCAAACTTGTCAGGGCTCTGATTACCAAGGTTGGGGGGCGTCAGGTCAAACTTAGGAGAAACATAATTTGAATAAAACACCTTTTCCCATTGTTTTCATTTGTTTGGAGTCCCAGCGTTTTTTATTTTGAATTGTTGCGTGCAGTTAAAGGAGGCATGATTTTTATGTTTAACAGAGAGACACGTGTTAATAAAAGAGGATGACGTTTGGGCCTTGATTGAGGGATGGAACGATAGGGCGATGGGCATTAAGGAGGGCATTTGATGTAATGAGCACTGGGTGTTATATGAAACTAATGACTCATTACACTCTACCCCTGAAACTAATAATACACTATATGTTAACTAAATTGAATTTAAATTAAAAAAATACTGTTTGGGTCTGCGTTGGCACAAAGGACACCCCCCCTTCCTGGTACATGTGACTACCATTGGAGTTCTCCTGTGCGGCTTCCTACTTGGCAAGACCATGCCCAGCTCCTGGGCCGTGTGTGTTCCTTGCTGGGTTTTTGCCCTTGTGCCCCAGCCTCAGCTCCAAACCCCCCTAGGGAAGGGAGAGGATTCCACACAGTTATCTCTGATAAACAAAACAAAACAAAACAAAACACACACAAAATAACAAAAAACCAGTCTCCTGATGCTCCTGCCCTATTGCTCTTCTATACTGCTCCAACTCCCTGACCTTCCCTACTCTTCCTCTCTTTGCTGTGGGCACCTCTTCAGCAGCTGAGCCAGGCTGAGCCAGGCATCAGAGAGCCTCCTGACAAAGACTGACACCCCCTCCACCCCCGCTCGGCATTCTGGGTAATGGGTGCAGCCCTTCCCTGTGGATATGGGAAGCTCCGTGGACCTCCCTAAGAGCCAGAGGCAACTGAGTGAATATTCCAGAGCAAGCAAGCTGCTCGAGGTCCTGTGCACAGAGACTGGGGAAAACACAATATTGGGAGACAGGCCGTCAGGCCTGAGAGCCTTCCTTGTCTGTCTCGCTCTTGGCAACGCCTCTGGCACCTGGAGCCAAACAGTCATGGAATGAATGATTCCCTAAGAAGAAACGACACTTTAGAAGGGCATCTCCTGCTGATGAGGGAGCCAATAGACCTCATTCATTGATGCTGAAAATGCCCTGGACCAAGGATATTAAAAATAACTCCATTCAAGAATAGGATAGTAGGTGCCTTCAGTTCCCAAGCTATACATTTTCTATTGCTGTAATCCGGACAACTGGCAAGCACTTGCTTTCATAATCCAAAGATACAGTAAGTCTATCTTAAAACACACACGTTACACACATAGGCACGCACCCACGCAACCCAGGACTATGAATGGTTGTGTGGGTGACTTGCCTAGGACGCATGTTCTAAAGTGAAGATGGAATCTTGGGCTTGGGTAGAAGCTTGGTGGGCGTCCTGACCCCCACCCTAACTCAGGATCGGGGACAGGATATCTCTTTGCTGAAGACACCTCTTGTTTGTACAGCTTGAGACTGGAGATGATTTCCGAGCAGTAATTGCTGTTGCGTAAACAAGAGTGGTTTGGCCCCCTGGAGAGATGCGGTAGCTCCTGAACCCTGCAAACAATAGATCAGAGCAGAGCCCTGGTGTCCTGGGGAAAGAGAAGGGGGAGGAGAGAAGGTCTTTAGCTCCCCAGGTGCTGGGCGCCAGGAGGGCCCTGTTTGGGGCCTTAGCTAAAGGCAGAGCCTGAGACCAGGGCCTACATGCAGTTGGCTTGACTGGACAGGTGATTGTCAGGGAAAGAAGAGAGGAAATCCAATAAAGACAAGGGTGTGTGAACAGGGGGCACAGTGGCTGGTAGGGCTCAATTCCTTCATGCACAGAGCACCTCAGAACTTTCCACTGCAGGACTGGGCGGGGGGGGGGGGGGGGGAGGGGCATCGATCCCTGCTTCCTACCCCGTGGTGAAGGGGTTGTCGAGTGGCACATTCACTCTGGAGTACTGGCAGTTGTGAGCTAGCTGCAGTGGGCCGAATGATGGGCTCAGAGGCGGGAAACAGGACAGCACAGAGGACCTAGATGCCTATGCTGCAGGGCGGAGGAGCGCAGTGGGCCAAGAGGATGGGGCCCAGACCCTGCATCCACTCCCACCGTCTTGGAGGTTTGAGCCCTGTCACTGGAGGAGAGCGCCACGTGGTCCAGGAGGAAGCCGGCCCTCCGCAGTCCGAGAACTCAGCCTGGGCCCTGGCTAAGCAGCTGAGGCCGCGGGATCTCAGTTACTCACCCTTCCCAAACGTGGGTCCTGGGGGTGCGATGACACAGCACTCACACCCAAGTGGGGTCACTGGGAGGAAGGAGGAACTTAATGCGAACCAAAGTGGGTGGCAAATCTCCACAGAACAAGTCAGTCTGAGGGAGCTCGGATCCACCTCATGGTGGGATCCCCATGGCGCTCTGGCCTCATCTGTCCCTGCGTGACCCATGCTGGGCTAGGCTGCCACCTCCCGGGAGCCCTCCCTGGTTGCATCTGGGAGCCTCTCCTGATTCCACTGCCATTTTCCTCTCCGACAGCATTGGCCTATCCGCCGATGTCCTTGCTGTCCTCCATGTCCCTTGGTGCCTCTGCTTCTGGGACACTGACTGGGCCACTGTGTGTGTTTGTGTATGAGGATAAAGGGGAGCATGATAGGAAGTGCATGTGTGTGAGTGCTGCGTGTAGGAGTATGTGTTTTGTGTGTGTGTGATCAGTGTGAGTGGGAGTGAATGAGGTCGGTGTGCACGGGAATGTATGTGTAGTTGGTGTGCAGTGTGTGTGATCATTGTGACTGAGCATCTGTGATCAGTGTGTGTGAGTAGGTGTGGTGAGTGTGAGCACGTATGCTCAGTGTGGTGTATGTTCCGTGTGAGCAAATGTGCTGAGTGCGGGCGTGTGTGATCTGTATGTTAGCACGCGCGTGAGTGAGCACGTGTGCGGGTGAGCTTGCGTCCCGCAGGTGTGGCTCCGGCCTCCCCTTCGGGTCCCTGTGCCCCACTTGTGCTGCCCACTGGTACGTCCTGCTCACTGCCTGCAGGGACTTCCACAGCCTCTCACGTGGGCAGAGGGAAGCGAGTAGAGAGAGAGCACAGCACCGGCCTTCCGGGGCAGGGCGCGTTTCTGGGTCTGTCCTGTGCCTAGGTATGAGCATCCCCTCGGGAGCAGGACCGGGTCCCCTGGTCCCTCCTGCTCAGTACTTGACACAGACCAGCTATTCCTTAACTTGCCACCAAAATGACATCAAGTAAACCCTAACCGCAGGTCAGTGTTCCTGTGCTGGACTTGGGTCTCCCAATGGGGTCAGCAATGAGGTCAGTATCCGCAGCCCCCATGCTGTGTGAAGTGGGCCTTATGGGCCCAGTGGTTTGTGGCTCTCCTTTAGCTTAACGAGATAAGCACCAATGTCCCCAGGACATGGTGACCTCGCAGCTAGGGGCAGCAGAGAGAGGCTGGGATGCTGAACGGATGCCGAACATGCACTAGGCCACACAGAAGTCTGGCTCAAGCAGGAATCCTCAAGAAGCTTCCTCTGGTCATTTGCTGCTTCCTTAACCAAGGTTGTACTCGATCTCAGAGACCTGGCGTTTAGTTGACAGCCAGAGGCCACCTGTAGAATCGTGGCTCCCCAGATGCCAGAGGGGACACGAGGCATCATCCTGTTCCAGCCCAATGAGGAAGTCGAAGCCCAGACAAGTTAGATTTGGGGAAGGCAAGACCCATGCCCATGGAGCGTGAAACAATGTGTGAATGCTGAGTAATCCCGGGGCCTCTGTGGAAATGTCACGTTTCCAAAAGCACTCAAACCAGGGCCCCTCTGGGAAGAGGCACCATAGAAATCCGTGCTAACGAGCCTCTCCCCCGGCCTGCTGGGGATAAGAGAGAGCAGACACAGATCTGAGAACAAGAGATGGCGAGACAAGGTCCAGGCGGGGAGGAGCTGGGGGCCTCCACCTTCATGGTCCCTCTCACAGCGGGAAGGTCACAACACCCAGAAGAGCAAGGCTGAGACCGCCACGGGGTCAGGCTGAAGGGGCAAAGAGAGGGCTGGTCTAGGGCTCTCCCAGCAGATGAGAACAATCTCCCATCCCCCTAGCCTCCCCTCTCCATGGGTGCCACGCCCATCTCGGGAATCACCCTTGACCCTGCCCTTCTCACCCTGCCAACCAAATCTCTACCCTGCAACCAGGGCGATCCTTCCAAATTCAGATCTGATCTCATCGCTATCTTCTTTGAAAATCCGGTCCCTAGCTGTCCCTGTTCCCAGGTAGGAGGACTGCCCAGTTCCCACCTGCTGGGGGATTAAATAAGAAAATACTAGGAAAATGCTCAGATGTCACCTTCCCTTTCAAGCTGCACTAAAGGAACTTCAGTGATATTTTTACTTAGGTTGAATGGTGACCCCCAAAAGGGGTCCAGATCCCTGGAACCTGTGACTGTGACTGTTTGAAACAAGAGTCTTCGCAGGTGTAATTGAGTTATGGATTTTGAGAGAAGACCATCCCGGACTGCTTGGATGGCCACAATCCCAAAGCTTAGCGTCCTTTGGAGAGACAGGCACAGAGCAGATCATGTGAAGATGGAGGCAGAGTTTAGGGGATGGGGCCCCACGCCAGGGAGCCCCTGGAGCCACCAAAAATGCCAAGTGGCAAAAAGGCGCTCTCCCCTTGAACCTCCAGAGGGAGCGCAGTCCTGCCAACCATGCTGATTGCAGGCTTCTGGACTCTGGAATGGCAAGAAAATAAATTCTGCTGTTTTAAACCACCCAGCTGTGGTTGTTATGACAGCTGCAGAAACCTGAGACAGGATCCAACAGCACATTTTCTAGGCCTTTATTGAATGCTTATTAGGATTTGGTGTAATTTTACCTGTCACCCCATTTACTGGACTTTGAGCCCAGGTTCAAGGCCTTGATTCACCTTCACACCTGGAGTGCCTGCCCTGCAAGGTTATCAGTGAGCCTCACTGAATTAAAATAACTGATCTGTTGGGTCCTCTTTCCCAATCCCAGAGCTTCTTCAATTACTCGGAGATGTGCCAGGAGGTGGCAAGATCCGCCTCCTGGTTATTCCCAGACTTCAGTTTTACCGGAAGTGATCCCCCACCCCTTGGCAGGAAGTGGAGTGATTTAACTGGCAAGTAATTTTAATCACTATTTTTATCACGAAACCAGGGATTGATTTCAGGGCTTGACTGGTGAGTGGAACCCATGGATTTGTATCTGTTTGGTCATGCAGGACTGCAAGAAAACAGACACAAGGAGCTATCTCTGGGTCATGCCTCCAGCTCTCATGGGGGCTCGTTCTCTCTACACCTGCAGGAATGCTGGGGATGCCCACGGTCCACGCCACTCCCCGGACCTGCCCCGCTACTCCTCCTGAGCCCAGCCACTTGGCGCTCCTCACCTCCCCAGCACACTCTTCATGCCCCCATCACTTTGCATATGCCATTCCCTCTGCCCAGGTCTCTCCTCCCCCACTGTCCACCTGACACACTACTCCTCATCCTCAAAGACCCCCTTCCCGTGTCACCTGATCCGTGAGGTCTTCTCGGATCTCCAGCAGGGGCAGCCCTTTGGGAACCACTGCGAGGACAGTCTGCTCATCTGTCTTCCACTTGGCCGAGGCCCTCAGAAGTGGACAAAGTGTTCCCATCCGTCCCCTCACCTGCTTCGTTTCTTGATGGCACGGTCTGCCTGGAACAACAGTGTATAATTATTTGTTTGCTCACAAGTTTTGTTTCTTCCCCATAGAATGTGAGTTCTGCTGGAAAAAGGGCCCTGTTTCACTTTTTTTTTCTTTTAAGATTTTTTAATTAATTTGAGAGAGAGAGTGAGCAAGGGGAGGGGCAGAGGGGAAGGGAGAGAGAGAGAGACTCTCCAGCAGACTCCCCGCTGAGCATGGAGCCGGACATGGGGCTCCATCCCGCAGACCTGAGATCACGACCTGAGCAGAAATCAAGAGCTGGGCATTTAACTGACTGAGCCACCCAGGTGACCCTTGTTTTGGTTTTTTCAACTGTTGATTTTCACGTGCTTAGCATCAAGTCGGCCCAGAGTGAATGTCCTCCTTTACTGAAGCTCCCATAACAAATTACTACAAATGTAGGGTCTAAACAGTATAGATGTATTATTTTACAGTTCTGGAGGTCAGAAGTTCAAAACGGGTCTCATTGGGCAGAAGTCATGCCTTTGGCAGAGCTGTATTCTTTTCTGGAGACTAGGGAAATCCAGTTTTTCCTTACTTTTTCCAGCTTCTAGAGACCACCCATATTCCTTATTTCATGGCCCCCTTCTTCGAAGCCAGTGACATTACACCTCTCTGCCATTCTTCCATAGCCACATCTCCCTCTGACCAGAGCCTGGGAAATTTTTCCCATTTTAGGGACCCATGGCATGAGGTTAGACCCACCTGGATAATTTCCCCATCTCAAGGTCCTTCATCATACTTGCAAAATCCCTTACGCCATGTAAAGTAACATTCTAGAGATTAGGATAATGAGCTTGGGGGGGGGGTCATTGTTCTGCCTCCCCCGGTAAGCGCCTGCTAGGATGTCCAGGTGGTGCCCATTAGAGCAAGGACCCATGCGAGCTCATTTCTCCTAAACAAATCTTCCCTGGATGTTTCCAACCTTGGTGTTGTGCTCAATGGTATTAGCAGGTTAAATGTGGAGATCATAAATCATCTTAAAAGTCTGTAAAAGGGTGCTTTTTTTTTTTTGACAGGGAAGAGGTCCTTGAAATCTTTTAATGCAAAAGCAAGCTGCAGAAGGAACTCATTCATCTGCCTGAGATCTCTGGGGCTTCCATTCCGTGTTACCTAATCTGCATTAACAGGACAGATCCGATGTTCCAGGAAGGCTGGTTGGGAACAAGAGGTGATCCCAGCAGCAGAGCGGACACCTGAGGTTCATGGGATTCATTCCATGACTCTCCAAATCCCCGTCATGCTGCCGCTGGAATTGTCTCCCAGAAGCCCAGTTTCCATTGTTGCGCTTCCTCAAGAAAGTCTGTGGTTTTCTTACTGTTTTCAGATTTGATTCTAAAGTCCTTAGCATCCAGGATATTATTCCTTGGTTGGGTCCCAAGCTCCTTATCTCCTGCAATCTTCACAATAGTTCTGTGGTGTAAAATGATTATTATGTCCATTTCACAGATGAGAAACCTGAGACTAGGTTCAGAACTTACCTAAGGTTCCCATAAAGGGCACTGCCGAGTTTATACCCATGTACCTGACCTTAGGGCCTGGCACCTATGTACCAAGCAATTTGATCTGCCCCGCCTGCCAGTCATTGCTGCGGGAATGACCGGCTCAGTAACATTCCCCCACTGCTTGGTGGGGGTCAAGTTAGTGCTGGACCACAGGCGGGGGAAGCAAAGCAGGAGAGAGGCTGAGCCTTTGCCTTCAGGCGTGTCTGTTCAAATCCAGAGTTGTCCCCCAGCCTGGGAGGCAGGAAGGCAGCCCAGGTCGGGGGGCTGGAAAACCAGAGAGCAGGCCCACAACAGGCAACACCCAAGGGGAGGCCTGCGTTCTAGCCCAGGAAGGACCCAGGTCAGCTTAATTTACATACCGCTGACCCATTTTCAATATCTTAAAATAAGACACACTGAGTACAAGCTTTAGTGATTGTCTTTATCAAGTCAGCACACAGTGAGGCCCAGGACTGCAGAGCTGAGGTTGATTGTCTCCCTTGGTCTTTAAGGGCACCCTCCCCGCCCTCACCCCAGTGCTGGGGCCTCTCACCTTCTCTTCTTGTCTCTCCCTCCTCAGGACCAGACCCCAGAGGGTGATCCGCCCCAAAGCTGGAGCGATTGATGCTACTGCATCAATCTCGCTTCCTCCTGTAGGAAGCAGACCCTGGCAGCAGGCAGATGGGACGCACAAATCCCTAAGGATGGAGGCGGAGCCAGAGCTTGGCGCTTAGACATGTGGCCACAGCCCGCAATCATGCTTCGCTCTGGACCCCTTTACTCAGTCCCAGGCCTAGGGGCTGGCCAAAGGTCCCCCCAGGGGGACAGAACCTGTCCCAGGGACACAGAAGGGGGAGGACAAAGTGCACGCCATCTCTCATCCAACCTGCAAACAAGAACAGAGTGAGAAGACCAAGAAGATGGGGGTCAGTTCCCATTCTCCATTTCACCAGAAGAAAGTTAATGAGGCCAGGAGAACTCCCCCAGGGATCTCTGTAGAAGCAGAAGAGGGAGAGGTAGCCCACTCCCAGTGATCTCTACACACACACACACACGCACACATACCTGCATACACACCTTCAATTGATGGTCAAAGGAATAAAAGTCAGATCGATGGCCTTTCCGACTGCACTAATAAGGTGAGGGAAGACAGCAGTCTACAGGCAGAGTGGCCTTCCAAGCACCCCCACCTCCACTCCCACCACCATTATATCGGAGTGTATATGATCCGAAAAGTACAGTGGGGATTGTAGAGAGAAGTCCCTGCCTCCTGTCCAGGGCTGACCCCTCCCCTTGCCCAGGAGACCATCCCCTACACCCCACTCTGGACCTTCCCCTTTTCCCCTTCTCTCCAGGCACTTCTCTCTCAACAGACAAGGCTGCTCCTATCATCGATCACAAACAAATGACAGCCCTTCTATGTCCTTCATTCCCTCCGGCTGCCGCCTTGACTCCTTTCTTCCAGGTCAGGCTTCTCGTGGAAATCTACTAAGCCGCATTCATAATGTTTACTCAAAAAAGGCAACCAGGAAAGGCTGTGTGCAGTAGGGCGCCTCTGGGAAGGAGAAAGGGAAAGAGCATTTGCCCAGAATGAGGGAAGGACAGCCCGCCCAGTGGGAGCCTCCGTGAGTGCAGACAGGTTGGCGGGGAAGTCCAGCCAGGACCTGGGGATGAGGAATGCAGGTGGAGTGTAGAAAGGGAGGTCGTGGTGAGGCACGACCCATAGAATGGGGCCAGACCACCAGAGGCCTTGAATGCCGAGCTAAAGCAAGGGCTTCCCACTTGACAGTCACTGGGGATTCATTTAGACAAACCACAGGTCGTGACCCGCTACGTTCTCTCAGAGGATTGATTTGGAATGAAAGATGGTTTGGAAAAGGAAGAGACTATCAAGGGAAAACTGGCAAGAAGGCGCAAAAGAAAAACTACCGGAAGACAGTGGTCCAAACTAAGTAATGCTCTCTAGGATTCATTCCACAAAGTGCTCAGGTCTTGCTCGTGAGCTGTCATGCTGACTTACACCCAGACGCATGGGGTTTCGGGTAAGCACATTCACGTGTTTTTACAGTTAGTAATTTTTATAGCTGTTAAATAATTCATGCTGGCATTGTTTTCCGTCTTGAGTTCTTAAAAAAGAGGCTGTTTACTGCGCAAGGGTTGGCGGAAATAAATCAGCTACCCACTTTGTCATCCTTTTTTCAATCTTGCTGTGCCACGTGGGGGAGGCCAGGCACTTTCCAAAAGTGTTATCTTCAGTGGACCCCGTGCTGAGCTTTCTCAAAACCAGATCAAGAGCTTAGTCCTTTTTTTCCTTTATTGAGTGTTTTTAATTTACTTTTTCGTTTGATTCAAACTCCTCTCAGTGAAACGGGTTCAGAGTGGGTTTTAGCAGTTTGTGTCTCTCCCCCTCCCTCCCCTCTAGGATGCCCCTGGCTTTACGTGCCACCCACCCCGATGGCTTTCCTCGCAGCCAAGCGAGGGCCCAGAACTTCCAGTGGGAGGCATTCAGGTCAAGATGACTCCAGCCCTTCCCTTTGTTAGGAGCCCCACAGAGCCCACGCTACCTATCAGCTTTAAATCTGTTTGCACAGGAAAGCGTATAGCCCTGCTCTGCTATTTTTAGGAGCTACCAGCATTGACTCAGTCTCTCTGCTGGCTTGCAGCCCTCTGCTCTCTCCTTCCCGCCCTGTCAGGGACTTGCTCCCATCTTAGAGTGCTGAGCTCATCTCCTGTCTCCCTGGCTTGCTCAGCTTTGGCCTGCATCCCCCTGTTTGTCATTTTCATGGGGTAGGGGCACTTCAGGAGCTGCATTTCCTTGCTTCTCCATTTTTTTAAGTAGACTCCACACCCAGCATGGAGTCTGACATGGGGCTTGAACTCATGACCCTGAGCTCAAGACCTGAGCTGAGATCTCTTAATAAGAACTCCACAAATCACGCACTAACCTGGATGGAACTGGAGACTTTTCATCTTGTTCATAATTTTGTATTCATGTAGCTCTAAGTGGGAGTTAGGGTTTTTTTGTTTTGTTTTGTTTTTTATTTTAATGAAGTCTAAGTGCCTTTAAACAAAAATAATTTAGGGGCGCCTGGGTGGCTCAGTGGGTTAAGCCTCTGCCTTCGGCTCAGGTCATGATCTCTGGGTCCTGGGATCGAGCCCCACATCGGGCTTCTCTGCTCAGCAGGGAGCCTGCTTCCCCCTCTCTCTGCCTGCCTCTCTGCCTACTTGTGATCTCTGTCTGTCAAATAAATAAATAAATAAAAATTTTAAAAAAAAAATAATTGACAGTTGATCCTTGAATAACACAGTTTTGAACTGCATGGATCCACTTATACATGGATTTTTTAAAAATACAGTATAGTACTATAAATGTATGTTCGCTTCCTAATGATTTTCTTGAAGATATTTTCTTTTCTCTGGTTTACTTTTTCATAAGAATATAGTAGTAATACATATGAACACAAA